ATAAACGATGAAGTAATCATTTCAAGTTTCCTTCCAATAGAGTGTTTTCACATGACGTCACTGCAGCCATTTTGGTATCCCAAAATAATGAAACGCCGGCCATGTTGGTGAACCAAACCAATCCTATGGGAGTTTTACTCTTTCTTATGTAGTCACTTTCTTTTGTTCTGATAGATTTGGATGATCGTTGTCCACGCTAGTAACAACTCTCTACAGAAGGAAACGTGAAATGATACAATATTTTACCAGTAGTCTAGCTTGAAAAGCAAAAACAAACACAAAGCAACACTAGCAGATAACATAGTTAACATTGGAGAGATTTAGACAGAGAGGACGTCCGACATTTAATGTTGTCAGTGAATTTTTTTAGTCAATACGTCTGCAAGCATACTCGGAAACTCACATTATCATCAGATTGTGGATCAATATTAGGATCACATGCAGTTCACTAATTTCAATATGTAAATATAGTTACAATACTCGGATCAGTGTTGACGTTAACAAGACACGTGCCTGATCGATATTCAGGAGAAATGAGTAGCTGATCTTGAAAGAGATTAATGTTGCTCTGTGTTTCAGGTTGTTCATCGTGACTTGGCCGCCCGCAATGTATTAGTAGGTGAGAACAAAGTCTGCAAAATTTCTGACTTTGGATTGGCGCGTGGTTTGGAGAAAGATGTTTACACGAGACGAACTCAGGTGATTGGAAAAATAAACCGTTTAAAACTAAGCTCAGATGCAGCTAAATAATTTAATCAATCAATCAATCAATCAATTGATTGACTTTACGATCAATTGATCAATTCCTTATAGTTCAGTTATTGTATCATTTCTTCCCTCAGGTTCCGTTGTTCGTTAGTTCGTTCTGTTGATCGTCGGTACCTCGTTATTTATTTATTTTGTTTGTTCTTTTGTTTTGTTTTAAGGCGCGTCTCCCAGTTAAGTGGATGCCTCCAGAGTCACTTTTCTATGGTGAATCTACAACTATGAGTGACGTGTAAGTTCAAGCCTTGATTAATAAAGCCGTCATATTTTACTAGCCCTCATGCTTTATTTATTATCTAATAACCAGTTAAACAACCTTACAAATTTCATCATGTGAAAGTTTTGTTGACCACACTTCATGAAACAGAGCGTAACCTTTGTAATGCGTCTATACCGAACGGTTGAAGAGGTTTTCGTCACTGTCTGCGTTATAAGAATGTTATAAGAAGTGTTATAGAATGGCATACATAATTCTACTAACGTCTTTGTTTGTGGAAAATACACCCATAAAAGTAAAGCATACTGTTAGCTTCGTATGTAATGTAACGAACTCTAAAAAGAGCAGCCGTAATATCGATCAATGATGATGCAGAACACCGCAT